GTCCGCGTGTGCCCCTCACCTCCCAGCAGCTGCACGACTGGTACGGTCGCCGTCGGCGTCCCACCTCTGTACCTCAGGGCTCTCCTGCTGGAGGTTCTTCTGCTGGTGTCGCTGGTCCCGGAGGTGCTCGTATTGGGAGTACTGGAGCTGCTGGGGCTGGTGGTGGTGCTGCTGGAGGTACTGGAGCTACTGGCGGTGCTGGAGCTGCTGAGGGTACTGGAGCTGCTGGAGGTGCTGGAGCCGCAGGGGGTGCTGGAGCTGCTGGAGGTGCTGGAGCTGCTGGGGGTACTGGAGCTGCTGGAGGTGCTGGAGCTGCTGGTGGCACTGCTCAGCCGCGCCTGTTCTTTGCTCCGCCGTCTCCGTCGTCTCAGCCACCACCTGACTCTGCACTTCGCCAGGTTCTCAGTCTTCCCTCGTCTACTGGTCTTCCGTTACAGCCTGGCTCACCGCTGCCTGCTCTTTCTCCGTACACAGAGCAACCTGGTGGCCTTGCAGAGCGTCGTGAGCCTGTGTCGCGGCCTGTCTCCCCTGTCAGTTCCGGTCGTCGTGTTCCTCGTCAGTGCCAGCCGGCTGTCTCCGGCCCTCCCCTTGTAGTTCGTCGTCCTTCCTCTCCATCCCCGCGTGTTCCTCTGCCGCCTCCCCCTGCGTCCTCTCTGCCTGTCGTTGCTGACCCTGCGTCTGACCGGTTTCGTGCTGAGCACTCTACTGTCACGCGTCTGCTTGCCACTGTTGTCAGTGACCCGTCGTTTGAGTCTGCTGCTGCGTCTGCCTTAGTCACTGAGCTTGTTGCCTTTGCTGCTCACTGTCGTCTAGACTACGCCGCCAGTCTTGTTGCTGAGTCTACGTCTGTCTGTCCTCCGTCCGTCGGGGGTGAGTGTGCACTTGGCACGGACGTAATGGAGGACAGGTAGGAGGACCTTGAGTGTCTTGCGGCTGCTGCGCCTCATCTCGTATCCATGCTGCTTGCCCCTGAGGGAGATCCGGATGCACCAGACATCCCGACCCCGCGCTCTTACGCTGAGGCGATCGCGGGTGAATACTCCTCTCAGTGGCAGACAGCCATGGACGCAGAGATGGCATCCTGGAAGTCCACAGGCGCCTACGTCGACGAGGTTCCCCCTCCTGGGGCGAACATTGTCAGTGGCATGTGGATTTTCAGGGTGAAGCGGCCGCCAGGTTCTCCGCCTGTCTTCAAGGCTCGTTACGTGGCTCGAGGCTTCAGTCAGCGAGAGGGAGTTGACTTCTTCCAGACCTTCTCCCCCACCCCGAAGATGACCACTCTTCGGGTGCTGCTGCACGTTGCCGCTCAGCGTGACTACGAGCTTCACTCTCTTGACTTCAGCACAGCCTTCTTACAGGGCAGCCTGCACGAGGAGATTTGGCTGCGCCGCCCTCCTGGCTTCACTGGGTCGTTCCCTCCTGGTACCCAGTGGAGCCTCCGGCGGCCGGTCTACGGTCTCCGCCAGGCGCCACGTGAGTGGCACGACACACTGAGGACGACACTTGCGGCTCTTGGGTTTGCTCCGTCGACTGCTGACCCGTCGCTGTTTTTGCGCACCGACACTTCGCTGCCGCCGTTCTACGTTCTCGTGTACGTCGACGACTTGGTCTTTGCCACTGCTGACACTGAGGCTCTCGCCCTGGTGAAGTCGGAGCTGCAGAAGAGACACACGTGCACAGACCTGGGTGAACTGCGCATCTACCTTGGCTTGCAGATCACCCGGGACAGAGCACGCCGCACCATCACACTGACTCAGTCACGCATGGTGCAGCAGGTCCTTCAGCGCTTCGGTTTCACCTGGTCCTCAGCACAGGCCACTCCTCTGGCTACAGGTCACTCGCTCTCAGCTCCACCTTCGGACGAGTCCGTAGAGTCGAGTGGTCCTTACCCAGAGTTAGTGGGTTGCCTCATGTACCTGATGACTTGCACTCGTCCTGACCTTGCGTACCCTCTTGGCCTTCTGGCTCGCTACGTGGCTCCTGGTCGGCACCGAAAGGTGCACATGGATGCTGCCAAGAGGGTACTACGCTACTTGTGCAGTACATCGAGCATGGGGCTCGTGCTTGGAGGACGGGGTGACGTTGTCCTCACTGGTCACTCGGACGCTTCTTGGGTTGACGACCAGGCTACGCAGCGGTCGTCACAGGGTTACACCTTCAGCCTTGGCTCTGGTTCAGTTTCTTGGCGTTCTACACGCTCGTCTTCAGTTCTCGGCTCCAGTTGTGAGGCAGAGATCTACGCCACAGCCATGGCTGCACAGGAGCTTCGCTGGCTCACCTACCTGCTGACTGACTTGGGAGAGCGGCCTCGTTCTCCTCCAGTGCTGTACGTCGACAACAAGGCCGCCATTGCCTTGTGTCAGGAGCACAGACTGGAGTACAGAACGAAGCACATCGCTCTCCGTTACTTTCTTGCTCGAGAGCTGCAGCAGCGTGGCCAGCTTCGTCTTACCTACGTGGCCACTCGGGCCAACACTGCTGATATATTCACCAAGGCACTTCCGCCTGGTGATCATCAGCGTTTCTGCACTTTGTTAGGCCTTGTGCCCACTCTTCCTCACTTGCTGTAGGCTTTGTTTGTGCCATGATTTATATGTATTTCAGCATGCTTGTTCTTGTAGGTAGATTTCACTGTACTGTTGTTGTTACATATATATCTCTGCATGTGAACTGGCCTTGTGGCCTTCTTGCTTGTGCTCAGACTGCGTGGTGACGTTGTGATCCACCCTGAGCTTGCTTTGCACTTCCTGACTGGTCTTGTGACCCTCTGTTCTCCCCCACTCTGCCTATGGGGGTGTGTCAAACATATGCATATCTATGTTATATTTTGGGTAGGCTTAGTGGGGTACACACTGTGGGGTACAACCCCTTAGGTTCATTTTCTTTGTACCAACCTTCTCGATAGTCGACATCACTCATGCCTAGGTTCTAAGAATAATCGAGTTCCGGCCATAAGCGCCATGCTCCAGATAGAAGCGCCGGCGCTCTTAATCGGGCGGCGCCTATATCTGGGGCCATACGATAGTCCCATAGAGTACTTTCCGATATTCGACCTTGCATGCGTTATCATCCTTGCTTGTATCCACCAATATCAGCCAATTCTCATTCAACTCTTCAATTACTCAGTAAATTCTTCGCCTCTTTCGCCAATAGTTATTTCGCCAACGTCTTCTGCCGCGTTTTCATCCTCGGCTTAGTCGACCCCGCTATTCTTTAGCGGATTTAGGCCAAGGGGCCTAACACATTTCTCAATAACTTTGAATGCCGTGTACCGTATGTCCAGCTGCTGAACGCAAGCTTTTGAGAGAACCCCGAAAGGGTGACAAGTTGGAGTTCGTGAGCTGCTTTTGGTTGAGAGACCTCGCCCCAGTCACGCGCACTGGACCTTGCTGTGCCTTGATTCGTCACCAACCTGTTACGTGGCTGTGGAGCCAAGGCTGATGAGTGTGAGGTTCGGTGATATGCGATGGTTGTTGTTTTTCGATTGTGGAATGCCCGAACAAATAAAATATGTGCATTCGAAACAAACCCCTAATTTTCTAATATAGGACTCGCTTTGGACAAGTTGTATACTCGAATGGGTGTTGACCAGAACATGGAGCTAATCGAATGGGTGTTGTATATTTTTAGGGTACCGCCGGAAAGGTTTACCGGCCATGATTTGAGCCAGAGTATATTTGCCGCCTGAAGCCGGGCTGGCAGTGGATTTGCTGCAAGGTACTCAGCTTCGGCAAAGACGACGTGGAATCCTGCTGCTGTTTCGGATTTGGCATAAAGTCAATACCCAGTAAGGTGCAGCCACGTAATGTGACAACCAGGAGGTTGGTGTTTCCGAAGCTAAACTCCCCCAAAAATTGCGCAAGCATTCGGGCAGCACGTATGAAACTGCACCTGTTTCTTCCTCCCTGGTTTGGAGTTTGAACTGACCGAACCTGACCCAAGCAGCTGCCCCGCTGCATGCGATTCGCAACAAAGTCAGACAAGGACGCTGCTGGACTTGCGTCGGCCTCCGCTGGCGGGACTGTGGCAATCCCGATACATCAGTGCACTCGCTCCCTCCCCTTGGGTTCCCATTTCTGCTTCCCGCCACGCCAAAGACAAATAGGTAGCGTGTAGTAAGCTCTCAGGCGCAAGCCGCGCTGAGCCAGCAATTGGCCACGCCAACAACGTCGCTGAACCAGGGAAAGTTCTCGAGATAATTTAGGCCTTGCAAATGCTCCTCGTGCGGTACGAGACAATGCATCATTCGTATCATCGACAATATTTCAGACTGGCAACTTCCCGGTCGCAACGTGGCACTGTTTATTGTCAACGCTCTGAAATTCGTTCTAGTCTTAGAAAGCGTCCTTGTTCCAGCTTAGGATTTTCCAGGCCTGCACGCTCGAGCTCGCAACTTACGCTTCGACGTCGGCCCGAGTAAGTGCACCTCGCTGACGGGACGAAGCAAGCACGACCATCTAGCCTTCCTGCTGTACCTATTAGCTTCCTCCTTGTCGTCATCCGCGCAGATTGCGTTTCCGTTATCCCTGGTACACGTCATATACTCCGATATCGTGCTGATTTGACACGTTGGTATTTTCCGCTGTGCGCTACTCTCTGCGTTTGTTCACGGCCCCTCAAGATACCACCTAACCCTAACTAGCCATCGACTGTGCCTTGCCTTCCCTCCGACCGCGTAAACCTCGTTCCGTTAGTCTGTTTCTCGTCAACCGCCGTACGCGTGTCGTCAGCTCGGTCTGTCTCGCCCTCATTGTACACTTGCCCCTTACAATTTCCTCGCCAGCCGCCGTCACACGTCGCTGCGACATCCAGACTAGCTGGTCAAACAGGCTCTCGACCCCGTGAGTTTTATCTCACGCTTTCGCACTTACCGCTTCCCCGTAGCCAGCCGCTCACCTTGGCGTAGCATAGGAGGGAGAAGTTGAGGCGAGGCAGTGATGTCAGGGTCAGGGCACGCATGCTGATGTCAGCGTTGCAGCGACGGGGACAGGCCACGCGCCATGGAAATGGCCCTTCCGGTAGCGTCTGGAGCCAATCAGCAGCCGCTCCTGCCGCCGCAGGCGCTTCAGAATCAGCACCAGCGTCAGCCAATCAGGAAGAAGGTGTCAAGAGACCGAGGCGCGAGGTTGATTGAGGAGAGAGCGGTGGGAGCCGGGAGAGAGAGTACGGCGGTGCTTAGGCAGTCGTCGGAGCAGCGGGGTCAGGAGCTAGGGGGTTGTGAGGGTGCGAGGCAGCGCGAGGAGCGTTCTGGGGAGATGGTGCCGGCTGTAGCAGGGGATGTGATGTTAGAGGGGGTGAGTGTAGCGGAGAGAGGTTGTGGCGACGGTGGGGAAGCGAGGAGCGTGGAAATAAAGGAGGAGGAGCAGGAGTGGGTGGTGGGGGCAGGGGAGGAGGAGAAGGAAGGGGAGGAGCGGGAGGAGGCGGGAGATAACAGTAGGCAGAAGCAGGTGCAGGAAGAAAGGGAAGAGGAGGGGAGAGTGAAGCAGGAGCAGGGGCTGTCGAGCACAGGTGGTCAGAAGCAGCAGGGGGGGATTGCTGAGGCGAGCAGACATGTGCAGGATGGCACGGACGTGGTTGCGTTGGAGGGCGAATGGGGTGAGGGAGACGACGGCGAGCAGGTTGTGTACAGGCTGTGCAGGGTGGACCCGGTTGACCCCGTTGACTCCGTTGACTTTCTTGACGCCATGCCCATATCGGAGCGCGAGCTGGAGGAGCTCCAAACGTGGATGCTCCGCCATGCGCCCGACGCGCTCGCCCTGCTCTTGCCGCCTGGGGCGCTGGGGGCTCGGGGGGAGGCAGACATGGCGGGGCGGCCATCGGGGGAAGGATTAGGTTTGGGGGAGGACGGCGGTGCGGACGAGCCCCCCCTGCCGTCGCCGCCTCTTCAATGGTGGAACGGGGAGGTGGGAGTGGTAGGAACTGGGCAGCCACGTGGCAGGTCGCTATTGGCTAGAGGGCAGGCACGAGCGGAAGGGCGGATAGGGAGAGACGTGAAGGCGGAATTAGGGTTGGGGCTGGATGACGTGAAGAGTGGGCGGGACGGCCGCTCGGGTCAATCAAACCTTCGTGGGGCCATTAACGGCATGCTTGCTCCGGTAGCCAATGAGACGAGGACAGGTGTCCACGCGCGTCAGGAGTTTCTGGATTTTCTCCTGACGGAGATTTCGCACCACGAGCTCGCTGTGGGCCAAAGTAGCGTAACCCCCGGCCCCCACCCGCACCCCCATCCCCGTGCTGAACTCTCCGCCCCTGACTCTCTCCCAACTCCGCCCCCCCCATCCCACCATCCAGCCCACGATCAGCACCATCCCCCCTTCCTCTCCGCCCCGCGCTCTCTCCCCGCTCATGGGCGGGTGGGGCGGCCAAGGGGAGCTCTGGGCGGGGTGCGGGGGCGGAGGGGGAGAGGGAGGGGCGTGGGAATGGCTCGGCGCGCTGCTAATGGCGGCGTTGGTGGTTCAGGGCGCGCGGAGAATGGGGGGGACGCGCACACTGCCGATGGCGCAGCAGTGAGGGGCGGGGAGGAGGAGGAAGGGGCGGACGGCGGCGCACAGGGGGCGGGGGAGGAGGGGGAGGGAGCGAGTGCAGGGGGAAGGGCGAGGGTGGGGCGCCGCAGCAGGTGGCGGTTGGGGGGCCGGGGGAGGGACGAGGAGGTTGTGCGGAGAGGATGGGGGGCTGCGCATCCTCTGTCAGGGGGAGAGGGAGGGGCGCAAGGAGGGCCAGCAGAGGGAGCAGAGGAAGGAGAAAAGGGATTGGAGCGAGATGGAGAAGCAGGGCTAGGTGCGCATGGGCTAGGGTTAGGGTTAGGGTTAGATGGAGCAGCGTGGGAGTGGTTAGGCCTTGGTGGATGGCCCACTCGGCCTCGCAGCAGGCGGGTTCAACCAGGTCAAACAGGTCAAGCAGGTCAAACAGGTCAAGCTGGCCAAACGGGTCAACGGAGTCAACGCAGTCAACGACCACCTGCTGCCACAGCCGCTGCTCCGCCTGCTGAGGCGGGCGGGGCAGGTATGGGGCAGGGAGCAGCAGGGGGGACTGGCGCCAGTGGGCGTGCCCCAGCAAGTGCAGCCCCTGGCGCTGCCCCACACCCGCCCAGCCCCCGCCATCTCCGCTCCTCCCCCATTGCTTCCGCCCCCGCTTCCCCGGTTGCACGGGCTAGAGGGGCGCAGAGTGGGGCGCAGCCGGTGGAGGAGGGCAGGGGGAGGAGAGTGAGCGCGAGGCGGGGCGGTGGGCGGCTGGCAGCAGCACTGCAGGCGAAGGTAGAGCCGGGGGAGGCGACTTCTGAGACTGCCGCTGTAACTGCAGCAGGGGGATCAGCGGTTGGAGGTGTTTCTGCTGCGCCTGCTGCGGAGGCATCCGTAGGAAGGGTTGTGTGGAGTGGGAGTGAGGCGCAGCAGGTGGCACAGCAGCAGGGCGGAGAGGCTACGGAGGGGGGGAGAGGGGGAGGAAAGAGGCGGAGATTGCAGTCTGGGTGGCGGGCAATGGGGGAAGGGAGAGTGAAGCGGGAGGGGGAGGGGCGAGGGGAGGGTGAAGAGGCAGATGGAACTGGAGGGATGTTGGGAGAGGGAGTGCGGGAGGGGGGTGAGTATACAGCAGCAGATGGAGCAGAGGAGGGTGGAGACGAGGCGGCATCAGAGCGAATGAGTGATGACGCGGACGAAACTTCAGAGGCTGAATATGCTGAAGTTGCTGCAGTGGGTGCAGACTCAGGCGGTGGTGCCGGTACTGCCAGCGCTGGTGCTGATACGCGCGCGTCTGTGGACGGGGCTGGAGCAGCGTTGTGGAATGAGGTGGGGGGCAGGGGCGCACGTGGGAAGGGAGTGAGGGCGGGACGAGGCAGAGGCAGAGGCAGAGGGCGTGGCAGGTGGAAGGTGGAGGGGCGGCTGGGGAGGGACGTGCTGGGTAGAAGAGCGAGGAGTAGGGACGGAGGGGCGGGGAGAGAAGCGAGGTGGAAGAGCCGTGTGGGCGGGGAGGCAGAAGCAGGAGATGAGGAGGAAGCTGGCTGGGCGAGTGACCTGAGGGAAGGGGAGGGAGCAGAGGAGGAGAGAGTGGGGGAGGAGAGAGTGGGGGAGGAGAGAGGGCAGTCAGAAGGTGCGAGGGAGGTGCAAGAGATCAGTGCCGGGCGAAATGGGATGGAAGGGGAAAGTCGGGGCAGGGGTGAGGCAGGCGAAGGGGCAAGTGAGGAGGAGCAAGGGAAACGGGGAAAAAAGGAGGGCGTGAGCGGGGCCGTGGCCCCTTCGGTGTCAAGGCAGCTGAGGCTGCAGCGACGGCAGATGATTCAGAAGCAGTGGGAGGAGCGGCAGCGCATGCAGCAGCAGGTTCGGCAGGCTGAGGCTCAGCGAAAACAGGTTCGGCAAACACAAGGTGAAGAATCGCAGGCTCGGGAGGGGCGGCAGGAGGCAGAGGAGGAACGTATGCAGCCCCAGGGTGGGGCTGTGGCGGAGAGGTCAGCGGGTGGAGAGGAGGGCGAGACGAAGGGGGGAAGAGACGGGGGAGAGGAGGGAGAAGCGGGACAAGGTGGAGGAACAAGAGAAGCAGGAGAAGGGGGTGAAGGGGGAGAAGGTGCTGAGGTGCAGGATCTGAGAGCGAGCAGCGGAGGGGAAGACGTGGAGATGGAGGTGCGTGAAGGGGGGGTGGGGGCCGGCATGGCGGCAAAAGGGGGCAGCGCAGGAAGTTTGGAAAGAGTAGGGGGAGAAGATGAGCAACAAGGAGACGGGGAGGCGTGTTTGGAGGATGCGGGTGAGGGTAAAAGACCGATGGCTGGTGGCGCAGCAGCAGGAGGGGCGAGGCAGAGGCATGTGGGGGCGGGGGAGCAGCAAGAGCAGGAGCAGAGGAGCAAGGGTGAGAAGGGGTGGCAGGTGGAGTGTGTGGGTGACGAGAGGCACTTGGCGGATGGGCATGCTCTTAGACAAAAGGACGAGGCAGAGGTCATGGAAATGCGGACAACTAGAGAAGGTGATGCGGAATCTTCTAAGGTGGTAGATGAAACGGTAGATGAAACGCATGTACAGTTACAGGCACTGACACAGACCGAGGAGCTGACGGATGGTAGGAACCAGACACGTGTAGGTGGGGCGGGTGGGACAGGGGCACGGATTGAGTCTCAAGCAAGTGAGGTTGCACATGTACAGGTGGCACACGCTGACGTGGCACAGGCTGAGTTGGCTAAAGCGGGTGCAGATAGGGTTAGGCACGAAGAGGGCAAGGCGGGTCCCTGTGTTGAGCTTCTGCCGAGGAATGGAGTGCAAAGGGAGGGCGCGCAGAAGGAAGGAGCGGAGAGGAAGGGAGTGGGAAGGGATGAAACGATGAGGCATCACAAGGGGCGGAAGACAGGCGAGCATCAGCAAGCAGGGGGGCAAAGGCGGAGAGTGAAGGCAGGGTGGGGACGGCAGGGAGGACAGCAGGAGCAGCAGGCGAGTGGGCAGGCGCAGGAGCAAGGCTGGGAGGAAGGGCAGGCAGGGATGCAGGGGCTAGAGAGAAGAGGGGAGGAAGGTGTTGAGACGGGTGGTGTTGGCACTGGAAGAGAGGCGAGCGGCATGCAGAGAGGGCAGGCGGGCAGCAGTCCGCGGCACATGTTGACAGATGCCCATGCTGCTGAAGCCATTCCCGCTCACACTGCTACGCACCCCGCTGCTCACACTCGTGCAGTGTCCCCTCCACGTGAACTGCCACCGACCATGCACCTGCCTGCAGCGCTGCTGATTGCTGAAACGAGTCCAGGCTTGGTGGTTGATGCTGCTTGGAGTGGGGCTGCGCTAGGGAAGGCACAAGGAGGGCAGCAAGATGTGGAGGAGGCGGAGGGGGCGCAGACGCAGAGGCATGAAGGCATGGCGGTACAGAGGCAGCAAGAGCATGTGAAGCAGGAAGAGGATGAACGGAAGGAAGAGGACCGAGTCGAGGGGGCGAGGGAGGTGGTGAAAGGGAAAGAGCGAGAGGAGGGGCCAATGGAGGTGGTGGCAGACAGGCAGCATGACAGACAGGGGCAGGAGGAGCAGCAGCAACAGCAGCAGCAGCAGCAGCAGCGAGTGCTGAAGGAGAAGCAGAGGCAGCAGCGGCTGCAGCAGAAGCGGCAGCAGATGCAGCAGAAGCAGCTGGAGCAGCGGCGGAGGCAGCAGCAGCAGCTGGAGGAGGAGATGGAGCGGCAGGCGCAGCAAGAGCTGCAGAGGCAGCAGCAGTTTGGACTGGCAGGCGCGTGGCAGCAACAGGTGCTGCTACAGCAGCAGCAGAGGGCGCTGGAGCAACAGCAGCCGCAGCTGCCACAGCAGCAAGCACAGCAATTGCAGCAGCCACAGCAGCCGCAACAACAGCCACAGCCGTCGCAACAACAGCAACAAGAACAACAACAGCAACCGCAGCAGCCGCAGCAGCAACAACAGCAACTACAGCATCAGCAGCAGCAGCCGCTTCAACAGCAGCAATCGCTGCAGCAGCAGGCAGAGGAGGCGGGAGCAGCGGCTCAGGTGCAGAGCATGCTGAGCGAGGCGGTGCTGCAGCAGGTGTGGCAGCAGGTGCTGCAATCCCGAGGGGCCGCTGTAGCAGCTGCGACCCTGCTGGAGCGACCACAGCTGCTGGTTCAGCTGCTGGCCCGGCAGCAGGAGGAACGACTGGCAGCAGCAGGGGGAGCAGAGGCGGGGGGAGCAGGAGGGGGAGGAGGCGGGGTAGTAGGTGCAGCAGGAGTAGCAGGGGGAGGTGCCGTGGGGACACATGGATTCTCACTTGGCTGGGACCAGCGACAGCAGCAACAGCAGCAGCAGCAGCAGTTGGAAGGAGTGACAGGCAGTGGTGGCTGTGCAGGGTGGGGCATGGGAATGGCACCAGGTGGGGGCGTGCCAACGGGTGTGGGAGTGCAAGGGAGCAGCCCTGTCACGAGCCCTCTCCGTGCACCTGCTGCTTTCCCCTTTACAACCCCTGCTGCTGCTGCCTTCCCGTCTGCCCCTGCTTCCTCACGCTCCCCTCTTTCTTCTCCGCCCCCTGCTCCTGTTTCCACTCCTGCACCTGCTCTTGCTCCTGCTGTCCCTGCTGCCCCTGCTACTGCTGCCCTTACTACTGCCAATGCTACTGCTACTGCTGCGCGCGCCAGTCCCAACCATGTCATCAGCGCCAGCCCACTCTCCAGCCCTCTCCACGGCTTGCCCGATCCTCTGCCTCCTGCCGTTGCCGTTTCTGCTCCCACTGCCAATATGGCTCCTGCTGCTGCTGCTGCTGCTGCTGGCAGTGGTGGCAGCAAAGGGAAGGGGAAGCGAGGGGGAGGTGCGGGTGGAAGCAGTGGGAAGGGAGGGAAGGGGAAAGGGCGAGAGGCAGGGGCAGGGGCACACGGGAAGAAAGCAACACCGATTGCAGCTGGCGCTACAGATGGTGACCCAGTTCCTGCTGCTGGGAAAGCTGCTGCTACAACTGTGCCTGACCGCAGCGCTACAGTTGCTATGGCTGCTACAGCCGGACAAGCAAATGCTCTGTCTGGTGAAGCAGGAGGCACAGCCGACAAGGGGAGCGGACTAGCGAGTGGTGCTGGTGGTGGGGGTAGGAGAGGCGAGGAGAGAATGGAGGAGGTTAGCAGAGAAGCCCACGGGGCAGCAGGAGCAGTAGGAGTGAGTGAGAAAGGAGGGAGTGAGAATGTGCTGGAGAAAGGATTGAGTGAGAGGAGCCGCAGAAAGAGGGTGCTTAACTCGAGGTACTATGAGGGGGGGTTCCAATACGAGGGTGACTATACTGAAGGGGAGGAGGGGCAGCCGTCAGAACCAGACATGGACTGGCATCCCACTGGTGCTGACGTGGCAGCAGCTGGAAGGGGAGGAGGAGCGGGAGGAGGAGGGATGGGCATGGGAGGTCAGAGTGGGGACTATGCTGCCACATTAGGGTTTAGTGTAGATGCTGACGTGGCAGGCATGGCAAGAGCCGTGATGGGCTGGGGAAGGCAGCAGGTGGGTGAGGGCGCTTCCTCTCTGCCCGATGCTGCCAACATGCTTGGGCCTGCTGCTGCTGCTGCTGGTGTGGCTGCTGCTGCTGCAGGTGGTGGTGGTTGGGGGGCAGAAGGAGAAGTGAGAAGAGCGGTTGGGGGAAAGGGAGCAGGCAGGGGGAGGGGAGGGGGGAGGGGCGTGGGGAAAGGGGACGGTGCTGCTGCTGTGGGGGGAAGAGCAAAGCGGGGCAGGGTGGGCGAGAGCGGCTTGGAGGCTGCTGGGGACAGTGCAGGGGAAGAGGCGGGGGAGGGGGGTGAGGAGGGGGAAGGTGGGGATGGTTGGGCAGGGGGGGTGGAGGAGGTTGGTGGTATAGGAGTGGTGTCATGGCAGGTTGTTGCTGCTCCTGCGAAGGAGAGACCTCCAGCAAAAGTGAGTGACAGTGCAATAATTGCATCGTATGGTTATGGTGCAGTGTTGAATCTCGCTTGGTTCGTGCAGCGGGCCCTGCGGCAGTTGCAGTCAGTGATTTCCGTTTTGGGCTGAGAATGCAGGAAAGAATGCTTCAACCTTGCGAAGGACGCGTTTGGCTGAACACCTGTCTGCTCTGCTTCCCTCTCCCCCCTTGGCAGAAGAAGAAATCCTCACTGTCATCTTCAGCAGCAGCACCACCACCACCACCGGTACCAGCAGCAGCCGGCATGACATCCCCCCAGAGGCAGCTGTTGGCTCAGCAGCAGCAGCAGCAGCAGCAGGTGCAGCAGCGGGGGGCTGGTGTGGCGGGAGGCGGGGGCAGAGGGAAGGGTGGCGGCAGAAAGGGCGAGGCGAGGTGGTCGCGGACGCCTGGGGGTGGAGGAGGAGAAGGGGCGCTGGGAGAGGAAGGGGCGGTTGTAGCAGCATCACTGGGGGGGGCAGGACCAGCAGCTGCGGCAGCAGCGGCAGCAGGAGCTGCAGCAGCAGGATTGGCAGGATCAGCAGCGGCAGCAGGAGCAGCAGCAGCAGGATTGGCAGGATCAGCAGCGGCAGCAGCAGCATCAGGATTGGCAGGATCAGCAGCGGCAGCAGCAGCAGGAGCATCACCCCCAGGCGCCACGCCACCAGGGGTCAGCCTGCTAGGGGGTGCTCTGGATGGCAAGCTGCAGGAAGCTTCCTGGATGGAGCTCTCCAGCATGGTCGGCCTCTCCCCTGTCCCGGCGCTCACCCCCCTGCCTCCCGCCGCCCTTGCCGACCACCCTGCCGCCCTCTCCTGTGGTCTTGCCGCCCGGGCCCTTTCAAGTGGAACCGTGGGAAAGCAGCAAGGAGGGGGATTCACTGACTCTGCGGGTGTGGGGGGCGGGGCGAGAGGTGGGGAAGATGAGGGGTTGGGGGGGATGGGTGGTGGGGGCAGGGATTGGGGGGGAGGAGGGGGCAGTGGGGAGAGTGGGGATGAGGTGGGAGCTCCTATGAGCCCCTCGGGTACACCCTTGAGTCCTCCCTCCCTGCAGCAGCAGCAGCAGCAGCAGCAGCGTCATGGGATGGAGAGGGGGAGTGTGGCAGCAGCTGCTGCTCCTGCAAGTGGTGGTGGTGGCGGCGGGTCGAAGAAGGCGGGAGGCGTAGGGCGGACGGAGGGGGGAGGGGGGGCGCGGAGGCATGGAACATCTGGGCGGGCGGGGAAGAAGGCAGCTGGTTCGGGAGCAACTGGGGTGGCAGCAGCAACAGGGCCAGCAGCAGCAGGAGCAGTACTAGCAGCAGCACCAGCAGTAGCAGCAGCGGCGGCGTTTTCCGATTTTGGAGGGGTGAGCAGCGGTGGCAGCGGGGGAGAGGGGGCGGGTGATGCGCGCATGTACACGGCGAATGGGGGGCTGCGGCGCAAGCACCACCGGCCGTGGACGCTGAGGGAGGTGATGATCCTCGTGGATGGCGTGGCGCGGTGTGGTGGAGGCAAGTGGGCTGACATCAAGAAGCTTGCCTTCGCCTCCATTGGCTACCGCACTGCTGTTGACCTCAAGGTACTGATGTTGGGCTCGAGGTATCGTGTTGACTTGTGTTGACTTTGAAAGACTGTGTGCATGATGAATCTTAGCCTGCATCTACCTTCCTCATCGCTGTCTCCCTCCTCTCACTTGTCTGCGATCCAATTATGGCAGGACAAGTGGCGCAATCTGCTGCGTGCAAGCCGGATGGCGCTCCAGCCACCCAAAGAGGTACGATGCACCTGAGATCCAACCATTCTCATCCTGCCACCATGCACTATTTTCCTGCCACATGAAGCAGCATGTTTCCTCCCCCTCTACTCCCCCACAACCACCTCCCACACATGACCCTCATCTCTCTCCTCCACCCCTCCCCCTCCTCACCTTCTGCCACCTCTCCCTCCCTTTTCTGCCTCCCCTTCTCCCCTCCCCCTCTCCTCCTCTCCCCCTCCCCCGTTCCCCTCCTCCCCTCTGGATGGCCACATGGGGGCAGGGCGAGCAGCGCAAGAAGCAGGTGTCGGCGTCCATCCCCCCGGCCGTGCTGGCGCGTGTGAGGGAGCTCGCTCAGCAGCAGGAGGCGCAGGCACACCTCAAGCTGCACGCCAGCACTGCAGGGGGGGGCGCAGGGGGGGCAGCGGCGGCAGGGGGAGGGGGAAGTGCGGGGGAAGAGGGGTCAGGGGAAGGAGGGACAGGGGGAGGAGGGGGAGCAGAGGAAGGTGGGATGACAGGGGCAGGGGCGGGAGGCAAGGAAGGGGAAGGTGAGGGACACCAAGATGCTGCTGCTGCTTCTGACCCTCATTCTGTCTCTCCAACGGCCCTCTCTGCTGCTGCTGCTACTGGAAGGGCCGGACGGGTCGTGACTGACCCTCAAGCACCGCCCCTGCATGCATCCACACCAGCTTCCGGCACCCCTCTCAGCCCTCCCGTGCACCGCCTCACCTCCCCCTCTTTCCCCTCTGCCTTCCCCTCCACTCTCTCTCACCCCTCCTCTCCTGCCCCCGCCCTGCCAAACCTGTTTCCTGCGCCTCACTTTGGCCCGGACCGGACGTCTGCAGAGGAGGAGCACGGAGGGTCGGGAGATGGGGGGGAGGAGATGGCAGGTGGGGGAGAGGGAGGGGACGAGGGCTTTGGAGAGGGAGTAGACGAGGGAGAGTTAGAGGGGGAGGGGGAGGGGGGGGTGCAGCAGGGGTGTGAAGAGGACGAGGAGCTGATAGGGCTGGCAGAGAGCTTCAGGAGCAGCGCGGATGCCATGGACCTGCCCTCGTGGGCTTGAAGAGCCGTGCTGCTGGTATCATGGGCATGATGTGATGCCACGGACCTGCCCTCGTGGGCGTGATGGGATGCCATGGGGCTGTGGGCAGGACTGTGAGTCCGCATGGCTGGATTGGAATGCATGAGGGGCAAGGGCAGTGGCCCGTAAGTATGCTGAATACTCCACTCCACCACACCGCACCGTACCTTCATCAACCTTCACTTATACCATAAGTCAGCACCAGCTCCCCCACGCATCAACATCATTCCATGCTAGGAAGAAGGGCGTTGTGGGAGGGGACACTTACACTTGCGGCCTACCGATATTGGCTCTTCTGCGCCACTAACTCAGGCCTTATCATAAAGGGTATAGCTCAATATCTACAACAGTATTCATATGGGGGGTTGCGGTGGGTTACTGGTAACTGCAAGGGTAGGAATTTGTCTGTACTTTTCTTATCCGGCCTGTACAGTTAGTCCTAGAAATGCCTTGAATTTGCCCTACCGTACCATGTTTTAGAACCTAAATGTAATAAAATGCTGACTGCTTGTTTCATCTATCATTGCGCTTCCCTCCATGAAATATATCGGGTCGAGCACCCATGCAATCGATGAAGCCCTACAGCGCGGAAAGTCAACACTCGAGCAGCCACTCATCCTAGAAATTGCCGAGCACCACGGCCGACTGCCATTCCGCCACTCGCGGGCTCATCGACAATAGCTCTCGCTCGTCGCAGCGTGTATTGGTGTTGTCTCTCACCGTAGAAACCGACTCACCTTGAGCAACGTAGGAATTCACTCACCCGCTGTTCCACACCTGCGAGGAAATCACGAACAGCAGCATTTTTCACGGACAGAACCATTCGGTTGGGTTGAACTCCCGCGTCGGTCCGCTGCCTGACCGGAATCTTATTAACTCAGCTGGTCGGCGGGCTGTCGCAGGCATGGCGGGATCGCTGTCGGGCGACGATCTGGCGAACGGCAAGGCGCTGGTGCCGTTCCTGCAGCGCGCCGATGAGCTGCAGAAGCACGACCCGCTCGTCGCTTACTACTGTACGCGCGTTAATATCCCAAGTAACGAGATCATGAAACAACATCAGACGAACAAAAGAAAACAACGGGAAACCTAACGAGTGGAGTGGTTGCGCGTGGCAGGTCGGCTGTACGCGATGGACAAGGGGCTGCGCGTGCCCAGCAAGGAGCGCAGCGCGGCCGTGAACGCGCTGCTCGTCTCCATCATGAGCCGCCTCGAGAAGGTACTGTCGCCTCGACAAGGTACTGACGCCTCGACAAGGTACTGTCGCCTCGGCAAGGTACTGTCGCCTCGACAAGGTACTGTCGCCTCGACAAGGTACTGTCGCCTCGACAAGGTACTGTCGCCTCGACAAGGTACTGTCGCCTCGACAAGGTGCTGTCGCCTCGACAAGGTGCTGTCGCCTCGACAAGGTGCTGTCGCCTCGACAAGGTACTGTCGCCTCGACAAGGTACGCATTAGGACACTGGGTAGCGCCTGACGTGGCTCGGATGTTGCGCTGCCACGAGATGGGCCGTGTGGCCCGCTTGTATCACGCGGTATGATGGGTTACTGACATGACGCCCGGCAGGAAAGCACGGCGCTGCTGCTGTCTCCCGATGGCAGGCTGCACGTAGTTCGCACAGCATCTCCCTTCCCTCCCGTCCCCCCTTGTTTCAATCGTCAATGCACCTTGCCGCGTGTCTCTGCCTCCGCCCACCAGGACAGGGCGGCCCTGCAGCTGTCGCCTGACGACGGGCTGCACGCGGAGGGCTTCCCACATCCTGTCCCTTTCCCCCCTTCCTCTCTGTTTCAACCGTCTATGCACCTCGCCGATGCCTCGTGCCCGGCCTCCCACTGTGCTGTTCTGCCTGGCAGGACAAGGCGGCGCTGCAGCTGTCGCCCGACGACGGGCTGCACGTGGAGGGCTTCGCGCAGCGCGTGTTCAGCAAGGCGGACAAGCAGGACCGCGCCGCCCGCGCTGACATGTGCGTTTTCTTGCCGTGGGGTGATGTGGGATGCTGCTGCTTGTTGGATGGAGGAGGGGAATGGGGGAGGGTGGGGGGAGGGGAAGTGTGTGGTAGGGGTGATGAGTGGGAACAGTGCGTGCCACTGCTATGCACGGCGGAGACGTTGTTGGTGCGTGTGCCACTCCCAGCACACACCGCTATGAGCTCCGTGCATTAAGCCTTCCAACCCACCCTCCACACTCACACGACACGCCATCCCTGTCACTTCACTACACGCACAGCACCCCTTATCCGAACCTTCCTCCTTTCCCCCCTTCCCTTCTCCCCTCCCGCTCCCCCCCCCCCCCCCTCTGTGTCCCCCAGGGGCACGGCCAAGACCTTCTATGCGGCGGGGATATTCTTTGAAGTGTGCCGCCAGTTTGGGGAGCTCGCTCCCGAGGTACCCTCCCACCTGCACTGCACTTTCCCTCGCTCTTAGTGGAACCTTTTAGGAGGTGGTAGTTTTGCCTGGGGGATTCAGTCAGCCAGAGTCGATGCTCTCATCACTTGCAGAAACTTCAGCCTCCCTCACTTTTTTTTTCCCCTCCCCCTCCCTTCCCCTTACCTCCTTGCCACGGCTTCTCTTCCGTGCCTCACCTCTCCCGCTCACCTCCCTCTCATTCCCTCTTCTCCTCTTCCCCTCTCTCCGTCTCCACCTCTCTCTCGCACTCTCTCCTCTCCCCCATCGTCCTTCGCCGCTTCCCCCATTCCAACGCGCAGGTGGAGCAGAAGCAGCGCTACGCCGTGTGGAAGGCGGCGGACATTCGCAGGGCGCTGGCGGACGGCAGGCGCCCCACGCCCGGCCCACCGGGGGGCGACGCTGATGCCACCGCTGCTTCTCCCGCCGATGCTGCCGCTGCTTCTCCCGCCGATGCTGCCGCTGCTGCATCAGCCCCTGCCGTGGCCCCTCCTGCAGCGCCCTCATTCCCCTCAGCAGACTCCCTGGATGCCATGTTCTCCGGCCCTCCTCCTCCTGCTGCTGCTCCCAGCACCTTTGGTGCCAACGCTGCCCCAGCTGCCCCCGGTGGTGCCAGTACCACGGGTGGTTCCGGCAGGCTGCAGGTAGCGAGGCCGGTGGGAGCTGGGAGCGCTGCCATGCAGCCCAACCCTCATGGCCAAGCGAATCCGTATTACCAGGGCCATGGGGATTACTCGCAAGCACCCCAGGGGCAGGCAGCACAGGCAGCACAGGCGGCGCAGGCATGGCAGCAGAGCACAGCCGCGTCTGACAGCGCGTTTATCACCTCCTTTGCCAGCGCCCCTGCTGCCCCTTCCTCCTCCCTGCCCACGCCTCCCGCCCCCTCCTCGGTCTCCCCACCAACCTTCACCCACTGGACTCCCGACTCTCACTACCCCTCTGCCACGCCACCCACCGCTGCCAACCCTTCAACCCAGTCAGCCCTGTTTGCCCCAGCAGCAGGCGGGTGGGCCCAACCTGCTGCTGCTGCCGCGCCGCCATACCAGCAGCCACAGGCAGCAGCAGCAGCCGCGGCGGCAGCAGCGGGCGCTTTCACAAACCCCATGTTTGCCACCCCGCCTGCCCCGAATGCCGCCCCTGGTTCTGCCCTTGCGCCCAGTGCCACAGCTGCTGCTCCTGCAGCGTTTTCCTTCATGCCAGGCGGTTCTGCCGCTGCCAGCCCAGGCGTGGGTGTGGCAGGGGGTACCTCTGGGTCACATCCATCGCAGTCGCCCCCACATTCGGGGTACGGTGGAGGTGGTAGAGGTGTAGCGTCAGGCGGAGGAGCAAGAGCAGGACAGAATGTTGCAGCAGCAGCGAATGGGTCTGCGGCCATGGGCAGCGTCTCAAACTCTCAAGGCCCAGGGCCTCGCGAGGTAGCGGATGCGCACAAGGCGGCTCGATATGCCGTGAGTGCGCTTGCGGGTAATGACGTTCCCACCGCTGTTGATTTTATTAGAAAGGCCTTGGCTTTGCTGGAGCAAGCTGGTGGCTATTAGAATATAGAAAGCACTGTAGAACGTGTTTGATGTTATAAGCTGCTGTCATTCAGTTCAGAGCAATGCAGCGTAAAGCGCGACCATAGCGCGAATTCTGGTCCAGTGGGAGTGTGATCCAATGGTGGACAGCTGTTGCGGAGCTGTGTCTTTGTCAATGAACCAACGAACGACACGATGCCGCGCTTGTGCTGAACGAATAGAATTGGTCTGCGGCGCGGCTGCCTTCGTTACTCCACTACGCGCCACTCATCACCACAGGATCAAAGGCTGACTCTGTTCAGGTGTTGCTGGGGTGCACTCGCCTTGCCCCGATGATTTTCTTGTGTTCCCTCTCCTGGATTCTCCTCCACCACGAACTCCCCCAAAATCAAGTGCTCTTGAATGTCCGAACCTGTGCAGGGATCGCTCCCAGTCATGGCACTTCAATCCGAGTGAGTATGACTGCCCACGCAACACCCATTCAATGGACATTTCTCAGCGTTCCAGCCACAAATCTTCCCAACAAAGTTTCTCATGTAATTGCAGAACTGTTTTTAAATCTGTCGAGCCACGTGGAATGAGATGCGTGTCTCTCTAAAAATGGTGCTAGCATCACCCAGAATTGGGCTGGATAATTATATGCTTCAGAACTCGGACCCGAATAACATACTTTGACCCAGTGGTTTGCCTCAAACCGCGTGAATTCGCATATGTACTGTAAATGTGCGCATCGTCCGGTCTGGAGTGAAATGAAAATGCAGAGCAGTCCAGCTAACAGCCTGACTTTCTTCCACTTGCATGTCACTTCACTCTGTGATGCATCTTGCACAGTTTACAGCGCTCCACACCTGACCGGATTCTCTACAAACAGCGCCTCAGTACTGTAGTGAACACACTGTGTGCTCCCCTCCCCCTCAGTAGTGAACACACTATGTGCTCCCCTCCCCCTCAGTAGTGAACACACTGTGTGCTCCCCTCCCCCTCAGTAGTGAACTCACTGTACACATGTCTGCATTGTGGTGGAGTGAAATTGAAGGTCTTTGGCATCATCCCTCTCATCCATACTGAAATCGTCAGTTTCACAGTTTCCGAGTGGAGTTTACCAATTAGGCATGGCAGAAACTGTGGCCTCACCGCATTTCACGGCGTCGCTCGACGCGTATGTGATGCGACCGTTGCATCGCGCATCGTCCATCATGGGGTCGGGCGAGCTTTGGCAGCGCGCTGCCGACATGGATGAAGTCGTCGCACAGTCGCACGAAGGCTCTGTCGCTAGCACCACTGCGACGACGAACGAAGGGGCTACGACAGGGAAGAAGTGGAGCGTGATGGGGTCGACGGCGCGCAAGGTGCAGCGGATGCTGTTTGCCGACAAATCGGACAAATCGGCGGTTAGTATCACAGACAGAAATACCAAGCGCCTGCTGCCGTCGCTGCTCTCGAGCACTCGCCGACAGGAGCGCGCCGGACAGGATTTGAGTTTGCGGTTCGGCAGCTGTCGCGTGGAGAGCGCCGAGAGCGTTGCGGACGATGGCGGAGAGGACGGCGCGGACCTCGGCCGACGAAGCGTCTCGTTTCAGCACTTGGCGGTCGATTCTTATCAAGGCGAAATGGTTGGACGGGAGGCGACGAGCGTGGACGAGCGAGAGGATTCGGAACCCGGCGGCGCGGATCCAGAGCGCCGTACGGATTGTGATCTTCCAGAGGGGCGTGCGGAAGGCGTCGATTTCATTTCGTTGTCCCCGCGCGCGACGAGTGCGACGAATGCGACGGGTGTACCAGAGGGCGTAGACCGACCGTGTTCTGTGAATGAGCACTCAGCATCGCCGCCCGAATCAAACAGCTCCCGCGACAGAATCGTATCGGCGCTGCCTCGTCCCGTACGCCCGCAGACAGCCCCCAGCAAGAGCGCCGCTTCCCCCCGTCACTTCGACGCGCGTGATCCCATTTTTTCCCGACGCAAGACCGCGCCAGTAGCCCCTGCCGTGCTGCGCGAATCGGGTGCTGCCTCGGGCGACGTCGAGCCGCAGCTCGCCGACGAGCCGTTTCTCGCCTCCGCCTCGGTTTGGTCAAGCGCCGCGCTCGCCCTTGTTGCGCCCTCCGCCCGATGACGCGGCCCCCGCGCTACCGTTACCATCCCCTGTCGTTCCCCGCCCCCCCAGCAGCGACGGAGTGGGGAACAGAAGCGGCAGGTTGAGGGCGGGAAGGGGGACGCGAGCGGGCGGAAGGGCGGGGGAAGGGCTTCGAGTGGATGTGGCAGGCAGGCGCCAGCGGTCAAGGCACAGTGATGAGCTGGCATGGGCGGAGGCGCTAGGGGGGCAGGTGCTGGCGCGGAGCAAGACAGCGGAGAGAGATGCGGGCGCAAGGGGGCGCACAGGCGGGGAAGTGGCTCGTGTGGGGCGACATCACCACCTGTCGGCCTCTTGGGACTGCGAGGGGGAGATTGGCATGGGGAGGGAAGACAAGGGGGCGTTCCCTGGTAGGGTTGAGAGCGTGGATGAAGCAGGTTGGGGGAGTGTGTCGGGGAGGGAAAGGCCAACCTCGTCCGGAGGGAGGGTGCCTATCACTGCGGTGAGCCCACGGGTGGTGAGGTTCAATTTCAAGCAGCACATGCAGCAAGTAGCACTTGCTGCAGCACGTGATGAATTGGCCCAATAGGTTTGATACGGTAAATGATTATCCAGCGCTTTTGCTCTACGTGGCATATGTTTCTCTATGTAACGAACATTTTAGGTGAATTTAGGGGCCATTTTCTTGTAACAATGCTTACAACCCGAGGTGCTTCTCCACAAAGAGGATTAGATGGAACATTGTTTGGAGGAAGCGAGAAGCCTCTCCAAACCCAAGTCTGTCGCATAGTTCGTCAAGTCGCAGCCCACCCTTAGGACGAGTCACCTGTTTCCGATCCTGGCTCGATCGGCGGTATTCACACCGATCGCAAGATTGGCAGGCGATCGGTGTGTCTGGCTGCAAATATGCAATTGCGCTCGCTTGCCGAGCCCAGGGTTACAGGTTCGGGTTGACAGGTTCGCAGGGTTGGAAATACAGGGAGCTCGGACACGCTCCCTGCAATTGTTCCGTACACACTGCGACCATGCGCTGATCGCCAACCAATCACACCCAGCCTGCAAATTACACCAGGTCGCACCGCACCAACACACGGGAAGCCTGGGTGTCAAACATATGTGTCCGCCCTCCTGGCTTCACTGGGTCGTTCCCTCCTGGTACCCAGTGGAGCCTCCGGCGGCCGGTCTACGGTCTCCGCCAGGCGCCACGTGAGTGGCACGACACGCTGAGGACGACACTTGCAGCTCTTGGGTTTGCTCCGTCGACTGCTGACCCGTCGTTGTTTTTGCGCACCGACACTTCGCTGCCGCCGTTCTACGTTCTCGTGTACGTCGACGACTTGGTCTTTGCCACTGCTGACACTGAGACTCTCGCCCTGGTGAAGTCGGAGCTGCGGAAGAGACACACGTGCACAGACCTGGGTGAACTGCGCAATTACCTTGGCTTGCAGATCACCCGGGACAGAGCACGCCGCACCATCGCACTGACTCAGTCACCCATGGTGCAGCAGGTCCTTCAGCGCTTCGGCTTCATCTGGTCCTCAGCACAGCCCACTCCTCTGGCTACAGGTCACTCGCTCTCAGCTCCACCTTCGGACGAGTCCGTAGAGCCGAGTGGTCCTTACCCAGAGTTAGTGGGCTGCCTCATGTACCTGATGACTTGCACTCGTCCTGACCTTGCGTACCCTCTTGGCCTTCTGGCTCGCTACGTGGCTCCTGGTCGGCACCGAAAGGTGCACATGGATGCTGCCAAGAGGGTACTACGCTACTTGTGCAGTACATCGGGCATGGGGCTCGTGCTTGGAGGACGGGGTGACGTTGTCCTCACTGGTCACTCGGACGCCTCTTGGGTTGATGACCAGGCTACGCAGCGGTCGTCACATGGTTACACCTTCAGCCTTGGTTCTGGTTCAGTTTCCTGGCGTTCTACACGTTCGTCTTCAGTTCTCGGCTCCAGCTGTGAGGCAGAGATCTACGCCACAGCCATGGCTGCACAGGAGCTGCGCTGGCTCACCTACCTGCTGACCGACTTGGGAGAGCGGCCTCGTTCTCCTCCAGTTCTGTACGTCGACAACAAGGCCGCCATTGCCTTGTGTCAGGAGCACAGACTGGAGCACAGAACAAAGCACATCGCTCTCCGTTACTTTCTTGCTCGAGAGCTGCAGCAGCGTGGCCAGCTTCGTCTTACCTACGTGGCCACTCGGGCCAACACTGCTGATATATTCACCAAGGCGCTTCCGCCTGGTGATCATCAGCGTTTCTGCACTTTGTTAGGCCTTGTGCCCACTCTTCCTCACTTGCTGTAGGCTTTGTTTGTACCATGATTTATATGTATTCCTTCATGCTTGTTCTTGTAAGTAGATATCACTGTACTGTTGTTGTTACATATATATTTCTGCATGTGAACTGGCCTTGTGGCCTTCTTGCTTGTGCTCAGACTGCGTGGTGACGTTGTGATCCACCCTGAGCTTGCTTTGCACTTCCTGACTGGTCTTGTGACCCTCTGTTCTCCCCCACTTTGCCTATGGGGGTGTGTTAAACATATGTGTATATATGTTATAGTTTGGTTAGGCTTAGTGGAGTACTCACTGTGGGGTACAACCCCTTAGGTTTCTTCTTTGTACCTTTCCCCTCGATAGTCGACACTCACTTTTTCCCGTAAGATTCTAACACTGGGAAATTTGAGGAAGTAGAGGCCAGCAAACACCTGCTATTTCAACCTGAACAAATGCAGTACGTGAAACCATTCTCGACATTGCATCATGGACAACCTTCCTATCTTTCTTCTTCTCTGTGCTGTGCTAGAAGGCTATTACAGCACGATACTCGGCCCACTAGTAGTTGCCCTAGCTCACGCCCTGCCGGGTATAGTAAACACCGCTACGGACCTCATAGAGCGCCGCCTCCTTCATGAGGACCGCCACCACGCAAGGACGCGCTGGATCCGCGTGCTACCAGTGCTTCCAGCTGTAGAGTTTTACGAATTTTTCCGCATGGAAAGACCCGTTTTTAACTACATTGTCGAGCGCTTCTCGTGGTATAGGGTGCGTAACAGCCGTAATGACCTGCCACCTTCGTTTACTATCGCCCTTTCACTTACTCGAATGGCCCAGGGGTGGAACTTCCGCGCTTTAGCATTAGCGTTTGGGGTAAGCCGCCAGCATGCGCACCGTATTTTCAACACCTTTAATGCGTTCATAGGGGAGGTACTCGAGCCGGAATGGGTCAAATGGCCTACTCAGCGGGAGATAGACGCCATGGAGGCGGAATTCAGATTTGAAGCGGGAATCCCAGGGGTTGTAGGTGCGATTGATGGCACCTACATCGAATGCCGTGGGTTTGGCATACATTCCGACGATTTCAGGAATAGACACGGAATGTTTACTATTATACTCCAGCTCATAGTGGACTCTATAGGCAGAATCTGGAACTACTTCACCGGGTGGCCCGGGTCAGTGCATGACGGAAGGGTATGGGAGAATTCTGAGGCGCGCCTTAAGATTGAAGACGGTGGTATTTTTGACCGGGTCCTTGTGGGTGATGCCGCGTATGGTTTGCGCGCCCACACGTTCACACCATATCGTTCCCCCCCAAATGAAAACGTAAATAAGATTGATCGGACATGGAACAAACAACAAATTCGCGCACGAATGATTGTAGAGCAGGTCAACGGGAGGATCAAAGGAAAATGGCGGCTGCTAGACGCACGGATGGAATGCAACATAACCCGAGTTTGCGAGGCGGTGCGAACCGCCGTCACTCTCCACAACGTCGAGTTACAACTCGGGTCTCGGCCACGTCTCGGGCCCCCTCGTCCGCAGGATAGGTGGTGGTTACGTGGTCCCGCATCAACCACCACCCACATCTCTTCTACGGCTCGGGGCTTCGACGTCGAGCTCCGTCGCGATCGGATTCGGAATCGTCTCTTCGCTTCTTGGCTCTTGGCTCATCCAAGAGCGAACACGCCAGGTCTCGGGTATGTCGGATGAGCCGTTCAAGGCCGCGGTCAACGACACGCTCCAATGTCGCCTCTAATCCTTGCACGAGCGACTCCGTTACTGCTGTGTCAATTGTCATTGTGCCCCCGTCATTGGCCCCACTAAATCCAGAAGCGCTTGTGTTTGCAGGCGGAGACCGCGCCCCCCGCAGCCCGCGGGTTCGAGTCGGAGGAGCAGGCCGCGGCGGTGAGCGAAGGGTACCCGCATCGTCAGCTATAGCCGATGACCCAAACGCGGTGCCTGTTCAACAATCGGGATGTGTCAAGCACTAGTAGTAGTTAGTCAAGGTGTTGTCTATCCAAGATGATTGATTCATAATGATCTTGTTATTTCTCTCAAATACAATCGACTTCCCCACATGGCCAAGCAAAGCTCACCGGGTGTGGTATATGGCAGCGTAGTAGATGTCGTTGGGCCTGTTGAAGGACTATCGGATGCTGGAGAAGGGGTTGATGACGGGACAGATGACGGGACAGGGAAGTCGGTTGGCCCGTTAACGCCTGCTGTACAAAACAATAGGAAAATCAATCAGAATATAATTACGCAAAGAGCACACATCGATGAGGGCCTTTCACACAACCATGCCATACCTTCAGTGCCTGCGGTGCCGCTAATACCCTCTCCCCACGGGTTTGGAGGGCGGTTAACGGTAGTGTCACCGGGGGTCTCACTCCCCATCGTCACCTCGGGCGCGGCGGACGGACGGTTGTGCATTACGCGGTCGAAGAGGTCGAACCATCGTGGCAGATCGTGGATACGCGCTGCCCCCGACTGCCGCATCCGGTCGCGGAGCTGGCGATATCGGTCGACCATCCGCTGCAACTTGGACTTCACGGCTGCGAGGCCGTGACGGAAATCGGGCACGCGGCGTATCAGCTCTTCGAGGATGGCGACGTTGTAGTTCTGCCCTTGTATTCCCTGCATGCCCCGGATTTGCTCGTCCATGTCGTGGCGCACCTCCGCCAGCAGCATTTCCTCAGCGTCGCACCATCCACTAGGCCCGGGGGCGTTCCCGCGCCCGCGCGACGTAGTCGAGGCCGTCCTGCGGCTCCTGGACTGGGCTGGAACGGGTTGCGCCGTGGTAGGGACTGCCCCGCGCGCCGTCGTTGGTGTCCTCAACTGCGGCCCTCCCAAGATTGCCTCCGGCGTCGTAGTCGGTGTCGGTGGCGGCGGCGCCGACAGTGGCGGCGTCTGGCCCGTGGCGTGGGCCATCGACGGTGCCGCCGGAGGGGCCGCTGTTCCGAGCGTAGGCTGCACCCCAGACCGTGGCGAGTCCGTTCGTGTGCTCCCCACTATCGTGGGGAGCGAGTTCGGATCGAGGATATCGGCAACCCCAAGTTCAGAGTCTGGTGCCGGCAGCCCTGCAATGAAGGCCTCAACGTCGATCTCGACATCGGGAGGTGATGGCGCCGCGGGACGAGCAGTACCGTTGGGGGGGCCGACGTTAGTGGACTCCTGCGTTTCAGGGTCCAGGTGCATACTACCACTCGCAGCAGCGGGACGTGTGGGAGTACTCATTGCAGTTAGCTGGCACTAGAACGGAATCGAGGGACTCGGGTGAGCTGTTTGTTGTGCTCTGTGTTGACATTTGTATTCAATTTCCAATGTGCATGTGCCTATCCGTGTCGCACGAATGTGCAAGACATTTGTTGTTTCCGCAGCGCGGTACTTTGCTCTGTTGGCTCACATTTCCGAAACGCAGGTGATTGTATGTGCGATTTTGTGACCTTTGTTTGCGACATTGGTCTGGCGTTTTGGAACGTGCATGCAAAAGGTGGCGCGAGCCCGAGGCTCGCCTACAACACAGCTAGGTCGATGCGCAGGGGCACATCGATCGCCTAAACCGCCGTGGACATGTTCGTGACGTCATGATCACTGTATACTCGCCAACACACACGAATTCTGGTAACATGGTCTATCACGACGCTACAGTTGCTTCGTACCCCCCCAAGATCGAACCTGGGGACCCAGGTTCGGAAAAAGGTGACGCGCCCTTATTCCCACAATCGAACGGTTGAACGTCATTCGCCGCAAATGAATCGATCGCAGCTTTCCGTTCGTTAGTCCTCCCCCCAAGTTCCATCCATCTCGGAGCGTCCCTCGATTCTACCTGGTCTTTCTATTTTAGTTGCTCCGCTCGCATTCGTTCTGATTGCCAGCGAGTTCAAGAGCTGGAAACGAAGAGCTGAAGCAGATCCATATATTTCCTGCGAGGCTGGTCGGGTCACTGATAATGCTTCGAGAAAACTAAGCAGCAGCAGCTGTGTCAAAGCCATGATCCATATTCTATTTTTAGCATCATAGCATTGGCAAATAACTCAAGATGGCTTTTTGTTTTTTTCTAGGTGCCTAGCCTGAGCGTTTGTGTGCTACGTCAGCTGCTCCACTACCATGATCCCAACCATCATGCTCTCTGCATAACTAACCCTGCTCGCCCCAGCGCTAGGACCTAGAACTCTAGCTCGCGAAAGTAACGCGCGTTGCCGCGTTGATGGAACGGCCGCGAGGAAGCCTCGAGGACTTGAGCGTCGCGTCGCCGTGCTCGCCGGGCGCCGACTACCATTCCGCGCCCGAGCTCAGAGGCCGCGCTTCCACGCCCGCCTCTGCGCCGAGCACGAGCGCGAGATCCCACGTCTTTGACGGTTTGGAGCCTGACCGTTTGGAAAATGACCGGTTGGAGAATGGCCGGCTGGAGGCCGGCAGCTGCAGCTTGAGTGACGGGGAAGGAAGCGAGTCGCAGGCTTTCCTCTCCGCGTGGTCGCCGCCGCAGTGAGTGATCCCGCCGCCTCCGTTTCGCGAGTCGTTAGACATGGCGTGCCGCAATTCTCAACAGCCGTGTTCGTTCACGTGGCCGGACACTTTTCATGGTTAGGATGGGTGGCGTGCTGTGCTGTGCTGTTTGGGCTGAAATCTCAAGTGTTAGAAGCTTTACGTGCGGTCCCTTCGCCTGAAACATTTCAAACCGCGAATACGATCCGAACCCCTCACGCGTCCAGCGCAGGACGAGGCGATGACTCGCGGGCCGTATCGTCGTGGTCACAGTCGCGCAAGTCCCGGCCGTCGCTACGCCACGCGCGGAGCAGTAGCTGGGGCGGCAGCGGGTGGGGAGGCAGCGGGTGGATATGCAGCGTGTTGAACCCCAGCGGAGCGGCGTGCTGTTTGGTGGAGCCGTGCCGCGCCATCTGCTCCCCCAAGTTCTTCTGGCAGGTCACGTGGCCTCCTAACATCGCCCTCATATGATTGCCCTCCTAACATTGGGAATAAGGTTGGCGCGGTTTGGTGCTGCAAGGCAAGGATGGGGGCTTGTTCCTCATACGCCGTCTCCCCCTCTCTTCCCCTCTCCCCCCCTCCTTCCCCCTCTCTCCCCCTCCCTCCCCCGTTACTCCCCGTCCTGCCGCTCGCTCGGTGCAGCGCAGGTGGCGTCAGTGGCGCAGTGGTGCACGTTCAACATCATCATGATCCTCGTCAACAACGAGATCTTCCAGGTGCCACCCCGCCCCGCCACTCACCTCACTCCCCTCCCCTCCATCACTTCTTGTTTGCATGCCTGTCGTGTCTGCCTCTCCACTGTACCCCGCCTCATTTCCCTCCGCCCCTCGGCCCCTCATTCCCCGCTGCCCCGTGTCTCTCTGCCCCGCTGGCGCCCCGCACCCCCGCCCCCCCCGCCTGATCCCCCACCTGCAGCGGTACGGCTTCGCCTTCCCGCTCACGCTCACCGCCATCCACTTCGCGCTCTCATTCGTCGGCGCCTTCACGGCTATTGAGGTCAGTCGTGCCTTCCGCGCCCCCTCCTTCCGCTCGCTCATTCCATTTGACCTACGCCACTCCCATTAGACCCCACACATCACTCGCCTCTCACAGCCTCTCGCCTCGTGCCCCTGCCCCCACGGCCCCCACCTCCCATCGTGTCCATCCTGCGTTCGCCCCTCTCCCGTGGGCCCCAGGGCGGCAGTCCAGGCGCAGGCCATGCTTGCCGCGGGTCATGCCATGCCACCCAACACGATTCCTGACTTCATTCAGCTCAACTATAACCGCCAATCTACACCCCTCCCCTGCTGTGCCATCACCCCCTTGACCATCGCGTGCCACACCACACCGCGCAGATCCTGCAGGTGTGCCCAAAGGCGGAGGTGGAGGCGGGGGAGATGGTGGCGTGGGTGATGCCCATGGCCGTGGTCACGTGCTTCAACGTAGTGCTCGGCCAGCTCTCCCTGCGCTACGTGCCGCTGCCCGCCCTCCTCTCCACCAAGGCCCTCTCGCCCGGCCTCACAGGTGCGTTGTGCGCATCACTCCATGCCAAGCGCTCTCAATTCTCACGGGTTATGTCCCAGCCAGCCCTTCCACATTTCACCTCCCTCCCTTTCCCCGTCCCAGCCCGCCAACCATTAACTTCCCTCTCCTCTCCTCCCCCCCCCCCCCATCCCCTCCCCGCTCGCGCAGTGGCTATCCAGGCGTTGGCGCTACAGGCGGAGTACGACTGGCGGCTGTGCCTCTCACTGCTGCCGGTCATGGCGGGCGCCATGCTGGCCTACGCACCCTCAGTGCACTTCGCGCTGCCCACGTTCCTCTCAGCGCTGTGCTGTGTGGTGCTGGGCTGTGCCACCGTCATCTGTGCTGAGGTGTTGCTCAAGGGCAAGCAGTACAGCCTCGACTCCCTCAACGCTGTGAGCCCCCACTCTCCCTCCTCGCCACCCCCTGACTTCCCTCCCCTTTCCCCTCCGTCCTTGCACCCGATGATTTTTCTAGTCGACTCAAATATCGCCGAGGTGCTGCGCAAAGAGAAGCACCACAGCCGCTAAATCCACCATGCCGTCAGCACCCACCTCTACTTTTCCATGCCCTGGTTCAACGTGCCGTCTTCTCATGTGCCTTTTTTGCTTGCAGACTCGGATTCCCGCACCCCTGCTCCTTGATTCTTCCCACATTCTTATTCTCCCCCTGTTGTGCCTCCTCCTTCTCACTCCCTCCCCCACCTCCCCCGCCCCATTCGATCTCGACCCATCAGCTGTACCAGCTGGTGCCCTACTCGGCGCTCATTCTCGCGCCGCCAGCAGCAGTGCTGGAGGGGTGGCAGCTGTGGGGGTGGTTCGTGGCTCAGGCCAACCCCTGGCCCGCTGTCATCGCCATCCTCATTAGTGGCTGCTTCGCTTTCTGCCTCAACTTCTCCCTCTTCTACACGATCCAAAAGACCAGGTAAGTCGCCCCTTCCAGCAGCCCCTATGCAGCTTTGCATGCCAACACCACCGTCACTCCTTGGCACCGTGTGCACTTGAATGCCGCATGCCCTTGACCTCCAGCGTGTGCCAACCGTGCAAGTCACGCGTTGTCTCTTATCCCCCCAGCAACCCGAAACTCGTGCTTTCCTTCCCTGCTACACGGCACACATGCATCCATACCCTTTTCCCAATCCCTCACCCCCCCTCCCATGGCCCGCCGCCCGCACCCCTGGCTGTGCCATGATGGCAGTGCGCTGACGTTCAACGTGGCGGGCAATCTGAAGCTCGTGATCACACTCGTCTTCTCATGGCTGCTCTTCCGCACGCCCATGGCCCCCATCAGCCTGCTCGGTTGCCTGCTGGAGCTAGTAGGCGTGGTGTGCTACGGCTGGGCCATCTTCTCCATGCGCAAGCAACAGGTGGAGCTGCTGCGATCGCCCTCTGCGCAGGTTAGGGTGGAGCAGGAGGCTAGTGATGACATTGTGCAGGTGTACCTAGGAGCCATGCTGTAACAGTTGCTGTTCTGTAAAAAAAAATATTTAGTTGTATGATAATACAGTAGTCAGGTGTACAGCAAGCTGGGAAATCTCATAATTCTTGGTTCATTATCAATATAAAGTAACTCGTTATCATAGATTTCGCACTACAAACCATACAGTGGATCACAAAGCTTCCAGAAGAAGGTGCGGTTACATTTCAGCGAGTGCCGCCTCTGGCACCGCTTGTCGTACGGTTGCCAGCTTGCCACCGACTGCCAAAAAAGCAAGTGGTTTACCCTACTGCCTGCCTTGGCTGCTGGGGAATGACATTCGGCAGACGGAAGTTACAGGGGTGCCTGTCTCTGTCGCGCGTGGTGCGCCATTGGCCTTTCGTTGCGTCGCACCTTCCAGGGTCTATCCAGCGCCCAGCGCGCCGAGCACGACCTCCGCACAGCACGGCACCAACACAGTCAGCCAGGTGCATGCGAGTGTCGGTTGCTAGTCAAGGGATTTCTTCGCGCGGATGAGATATTGGGATTTTGTGGGTTGAAATTGGGGGTCGACACTATTCTCCACACTCTGGTGATCTAGAACTTGGCACTCTTGATTTCCCAGACTATCATTTTGATCAGGTTGCTTTTGCCAGAAGCTAGCGAGGTCCCTCAACTCTACAGATGGCCTCAGCGGAGGTGATACGGATTAGCGAGTGCAAGGCGGCAGTCGTTGCTAGGCTGCGGAATCTCGATGCCGCGGAATGGGGAATGCTGTGGGAGAACGCGGCGGCGGCGGACGAGGAGGAGGAAGAGCAATTGGAGCATGTCCCGCACAGCGCGCCGTTTTCTCTGTCAAGCCCAATGACAGGGGCTGCGGGGGCGATCAGCGCGAGGCGCAGCTGGGCGTGGCGCGAGAAGATGAGGTCGTTCGGCCGGCAATTTTTGCCGCGGCGTGGCAGCTGCGACGACCTGAACGTCGCGATTGCGACGGCTTCTGTAACGCCGGCGAAGCGAGCGAAATCGTTTCCAGAGTCAAAGGAGCGCGGCATCGAGAAGGGCCCGAGGGCCGGGCGGTCGCGGCGCGCGGACAGCCGGGGCGTGTGGCGGAGCGTGTACGAGCCGAGGTGGCTGGAAGAGGGGCTGGCGCAAACCTCTGGGGACGATGAGCGGCGCCCTCACGGCGCGATTCGCGGCGAGATGGGATGGCGGGACGACACGGCGCAGCGCGCGGCGGATGCAGGGGCTGCCGCGGGCAGGGAGGGCTGTGCGCGCTACCAGCTGCTGCGACACAATTCTCTTCCCTGTTCGTGCTCGTCGCAGAAGGTTTCGCCGAGCCTACCGCGACGCGCGTCGGCGATGCATGGCGATAGCAGTGCTGAGCGTCCTGCCCGTTCCTTCGCAGGAGCGAAGGAGCAATTGCCGTCGTCGTCGTCATCGTCGCAGCACAGGCGCACCCCGTCTTTGCTCGTCATCCCCCCGTTCCTCCCCTCCTGCCTCCCCTCGCCCTCGCCCGTTTCCGCTCCCTGCCGCACTGCGCCGTCCACGCCGCCTCCCCCCACCCCCGTGCTCCGCGGTGACTCCGCCTCCCCGTCGGAATGCAGCCCCACCGACGGCTGCAGAAACGGCGACTATTCACCTGCCGCTTCCGCTGAGAGCAGCGGCGGGAGGCAGAGCAGCGGGGCAAAGCGCGCGGATGGGCGCATGTCGCGAAGAAGCCCCGCGGAAGGGTGGACTCTTTCGAGCGGCACGGCAACAGAGGGCGGTCAAGCGGGCGCGAAATGGCGATCCGGTGAAAGGGGATGGCGGCAAAACATTATGAATGCGCTGAGTAGCCCGAGGAAGCACGCGAAGGACGCGTGAGGGCTGCTCGCTTGCTCGCATGGGTCTCATGAGTCGCGACTCGACTTATTGAAGGACAATGTTGGTTCGCCAAAGCCGCAGCTACCCGAATGAATAAATCCGTTGACGAGTATCTTGTCAGCTGTTCCGTAATGCATGTCTATGTACACCAAATATTGTACATGAATGTACCATAATAATAACAAATTGCGCACCGTCATAACGAGGTTGCCAACAACTTATCACCGCGTCATCCCAAGTAGAAATTAGAATAAAGGTTTTGCTACTTGCGCCTGTCGCGCCTAGCTCATGTATCGCCTGCCACAAGCCGCATTCCTCAACACGAGACTGCAGTAGCCGCTTCGTCATCGCTGCATTCCGCCAGCGCAACTCGCGGTACAGCTCTCCTTGTATTTGCAATAGAATGACCGCGGCGGATTCTCACGGGGATTTAGTGTAGCATGAATTGACGCCTCCTGCGCACATCCGCGCAGCACTCACCGCACTTCCCACTCCAGCCTACCGCTTCGAGCATCGATTATGGCGACGCCGCGACTCACGGCGAGGCCGCCGTCTCCGTTCGTCCCGGCGGGCAAGAGTGGCTTGTGCTGCAAGTGCCACGTGGCGCGCGTGTACGCGTTGATGGTCTTCGTCAGCCTCCTCGCGCTGCTCCTCTTCCTCTTCGTGCCCTGGGCCGCGTCGCACGGCGCCATCCGTGCGACTGCTGGCGACGCTGTCGCCGTCGCAGAAGCAGGAACGGGGGGTCGTGTGCGAGGGAGGGGCAGGGGTCCGCAGCTCGAGCGCGGGGAATCGTTGCATTTTGGGGGAAATGCGGGGAGTGCGGAGAGCGCAATGCGCATGGGCGGAGAGCAGGCGGACGTGATTCAGGAAAAGGCAGTGACCATGGCGGACGTTGCTGACGCTGTAGCCAGTAGCGAGGCTGCTTTCAAGGGAGATGAAGCATTGGCGGGGAGAACAGGGGCGGCGGAGGAGATGGAAGAGGGGGCGGAGAGGGGAACCGATGGGGGAGAGGCGGAGGAAAAGGGGGAAGGAGGGCAGGGAGGGGAGGGCGGGGAAGGAGAGGAGGGAGGAGGAGGGGAAGGAGAGGTGCCGATGCCGCTGCGGGTGTACATGCTGCCTCTTACAGGCGAACTCAACTTCCACGTGTTGCTGGTATGACCACACGCCACTCCACGGTATTGCACAGCACACACCCTTCCATCTCTTCTTGTCACCAGCCCCCTTGCCGCCCCATGCCAGCACCACTGTGAGCGCCCACCATACCCACCTCCTCCCTTTCCTCCACGCCCACCCTCCCCCCACACGCTGCCTTCCATCTCCCCCTTCTCTCCCCACGCCCCGTCAACAGCAACGGTGGCGCTTTGCGGACCGGCTACAGGTGCAGCTGCGGCACGGCATGCCGGCGGACTGGCAGTTCAACGGCAACTCGCTGCGCCCGCGGGCGCACGGCGACGTGGTGGGGCTCATGGTGCAGGACGACGGGTGGATGGAGGGCGGCCAGGGGGAGGGCGGAGAGGGAGGCGGAGGGGGTGGAGAGGGGTCGGTGCAGGTGCCGCAGTTTGTGGAGGGGTTTGGGGTGCACATAGAGCAGTACGCGGCGGAGTACTGGCTCACGCTCTCCCTGCTCGCCGGCGGGCTGCCCTCCCTGCAGCGCGTGCGGCGGGCTGAAGACGCCCACATCATCTTTGTGCCCGCCTTCTCCTCCGCCTTCTACGCCACTCAGATGAAGACGTGAGTGAGTGCCGCCCGGTTCGTACTCATTTGAGTGCGCCTGTGACAGCCTGCCACGTGGTGCAAGCAGTGTCTCCGTGGAGAAAGCATCCTGGCTCGCTTCCTGTGTGCCTTGTTCGTGTCTTCCCTCCCTCTCCCTCCTCCGCTTCTGCCTGCTTTTCTCCCCCCTCCCTGCCCCCCCAAGGCAGCAATGAGAGGCGGCGGCGGGCGGGCGACACCAGGATACCGGAGGAGCAGCACTTGCTGGCAGCCGTCACACAGCACGCGCTGTGGGGAGACAGGGGCGGGCAGGGAGGAGGGGCCAGCCAGGGGGCAAAGGGGCAGCAGGGGGAGGGCGAGCTGCTGGAGAAGGTGCAGGTGGCGGCTGGGGAGGGCTCACCTGGTGGTGGTGGTGGTGGTGGTGACGAGGAGGCGGGCGGCAGCAGCAGACGACGACTGCTGCGGGTGCTGAAAGGGGGACGGAAGGGGAAGGAAGCGGAGGCGGGCGAGCAGGCGCAGAACGCACCAGTGGAGGATCAGCAGGGACCCGATGGTGGGGCTGGAGGGGCTGAGAGGGCCGATGCAGCAGAGAGGTCGCAGAGCGAGGGAGCCAAAAGGGGCCTTGTGTTTCGGCGGCGAGATTTCCTCATTCCAGCGGTGCACCCCCATGCTCTGTCCACGGTGCGGCATGAGGTGGCAGCAGCGCACATGCTGATGGTGGACTTGAGCCAGCCAGCAGAGCAGGTGGCGCATCTAGACAAGGACGTGCTGGTGCCCTACTCCGCCCTCATCCCGCCCTTCCTCAATGACTCACTGCCGGGGGAGACAGAGGGCGGGCATGGCAGTGCGGGAGGGGCGCAGGCTGTGGCGGCGTGGGGGGCTGCACGGCCCACTTTGATATTCTTCAGAGGCACGCTAAACCGGCAACAGGTGCGCATGCAGGCTATAGAGGGGGATGCAATGCTAGCTCGACCGGCCAGCCTGAACCACCGTAGTCTTCGCCCTCCCTTGAGCCACTCATCCACTTCGCCCGCCTCCAACTGCGTTGCCCCTTCAATCCGGCCTCCTCCCCTCGCCCCTGTCCCCCTCCCCCACCCCTGCGCTGCACCAGGGAGGGGCCATGCGGGTGCAGCTGGCGCGGCTGCTGGCGAACGTGAGTGGGGCGGACATAGCAGAGGGGTCGCCACTGCAGGGGGGGGTGCAGGCGGCCACAGCAGGCATGCGCGCCTCCAAGTTCTGCCTTGTGCCTGAAGGTCGCCACGCCACTGCTCGCCCTCACCTTCTTCTGCCACTGCTCGCCCTCACCTTCTTCTGCCACTGCTCGCCCTCACCTTCTTCTGCCACTGCTCGCCCTCACCTTCTTCTGCCACTGCTCGCCCTCGCCTTCTTCGGCCACTGCTCGCCCTCACCTTCTTCTGCCACTGCTCGCCCTCACCTTCTTCTGCCACTGCTCGCCCTCACCTTCTTCTGCCACTGCTCACCCTCACCTTCTTCTGCCACTGCTCGCCCTCCTCCTCCTGCTTACATCGCTCACTACAATGATCTTGCTTCCACACACCATGCAAACCGGCAATCTTATTCTCGCCTGCCTGTGCTTCCCTTTCCCCTCACCACGCGCGCACTCCCCCTTGACCTCCCTCGTGCTCACCCTCCCTCTCCCGCTCCGCCCTCGCCTCTCCCCATGCCAGGCGACACGGCATCGTCATGCCGGCTGTTTGACGCCATTCTATCGCACTGCATCCCGCTGGTCATCTCCGACTCGCTCGACCTGCCATTCGAGGAGGCCCTCGACTACACCGCCTTCGCCCTCTTCCTCCCACAGGCCCTTGCCCTCCGCCCCGGATACGTCGAGGCCTTCCTGCGAAACGTGTCGCACGAGTCAGCTTTCGCCATGTGGCAGCGGCTCAGAGAGGTGTGTGGGGACGGGATGGGGCTGCCCTGACCTCTGCTGCAAACCATCTCCCTTCCACCGCATCATCTGCCTTCAGCCTTCACCCTCAGCTTTCAGCCTTCCAAAATTCTGCCGCCATGTCTCGCCCTCCCCCCCTCATACATCTGGCAGGTGGCACACCACTTTGTCTACTCCACGCCGCCCAAGCCCGGAGGGGCGGAGGACATGATCTGGCAGGCTGTAGCACGGCGGTGGGCAGGGGACCACTATGGGAGGCGCTACAACCGGGAGAACCAGAGGAGGCGGAGGAGGGTGATGGAGCAGCTGCTGGAGCGAGAAGGGCTCAGCGCTTCTGACATTGTGGTCAGACCACGTGCCCTGCCACTCATGTAACATGCCTTGGGCATTTGCCTGTCTTGTGGCTGGTAAACTCATTGTATATTCTCATGCGTTTCACGAGCTCAGAAATCGTCTGAACCATGTTGCACCTCACAACATCCAGCACTGAGCCAAACCAGAAGCCCTCCCTGTTCTGGGCCGCAAGCAAGAGTCAACGTAGAAGCTGAGCTAATGGATTATTTGCCTGTGTAAGCCCAGTGGTATTCTGCCCAGACAGCAGGATTCAATGGTTATGAATAGGAATATAGTGCTACAACAAAAACAGGTTAGTGTGGGTAACAGGGCTGACTTTTCGAATAAAACCACTCTGATTTTTTTGGCCCCCCAATTTTTTTTAGTCTGAGGCCCATTTTCCAAAAAGTGAATACTCTGATTTCTCAGGAACCAGAGAAGTATAACTCTGAAAATTTTATAATTCATAGACTAAGGCAGGTTTTCCTACTAACGAACCTTTTGCACAAGTTCGGAGGGATGGGTTTTCCTCGAAGTAACAGGAATGGCGAAGGGGAGTTCGTACTCTGTAGTATGAAAACTCATTATCCGGTAAGCAAGTTCTCTGAAATTTTCAGTATCGAAAAAACCATTAGTCTGAAGCACTCATTTTTCAAAACCAGCCAACTCTGAAAAATCAGGAATGTCAGGAAAATAGTCTGAAATTTCAGACAATCAGACTAAAATAGTCTGATATCGTCAGCCCTGGTGGGTAACTACTGTACGCTTATTTAGCTAGGGTGTGCTCAACAAGCACTATTTTCATGCGTGTACAAAAGGAGGTGGCGTGGACAAGGAAAATATTTTCCTTCAATCTTTCTTTCCTCCTTGCTTGTTGATCAGCGACTTATGAATATGTGGGATGACACCACCACCAGCAATCGTACCCTGCAAGAATGAAGACCAAGGCGTGGAACGGTCCGCCACGGTTAGCATCAGAGCAAAGCTGCAATAGAAATCAATCTTCCAGACACTATTGCTTCTAGAGGGGCAAAACCAGTAATCGTTTGTTTCACCTTGATCAATGTATCCAACTCCTCGTCGCCTCTGATCGCCAGCTGAAGATGACGTGGTGTAATACGCTTCACCTGTTGTGCACCACACGAAGCAAGAGGCAAAAGTCAAGGCAATGAACGAGGCGGCAACGCAACGACACTGTAGCGAAATAGCATGCGAAATTCGACGGTCACCTTTAAGTCCTTCGACGCGTTCCCCGCTAGCTCTAGAACTTCCGCTGTGAGATACTCGAGGATTGCAGCGCCGTACACTGCTGCAGTGGCACCGACTCGGCCGTTAGCGGCCACTCTCAACTTGAGCAGGCGATGGATGCGTCCCACGGGGAACTGCTCAAATCAACAGTCAGGTGAGATTTCGCTTGCAGCACCTGCCGAACTCTACGCATAGCGATGATATTACAGTTTATATTGTCGAGGGCAGGCTTAGCTGGAAACTGACCTGCAAGCCCGCTTTAGAAGAACGTGAAATTGGCTTCTTTTTGTCTCTTAGCTTGTCCAGGCCCTCTGGGCCCTTGCCCATAAGTCCTTTGGCCCCCTTTCCAGACTGGAATGGAGAAAGTAAAAAACATGAGGGGAGAAGCCGGAGAACGTTTCATTTAACCATTTGCTACGTTGTTGGACCGCTTAATGGGGGAGCCAAACACCCGACAAGAGGGCAGGAAGAATAGATACAGAAAAGGGGTTGGTTCCACCATCGAGCCCATAAAAAGCAACCAGCCCTTTTCGAGACGAAGTGACGAGAGCACACACCATGCTGGTAATCTGATGTCTGTTGGGTCAACAATACGAGCGGTAATCCCAGTGCTTGAACGGCTTGACAAGAAGCGGAAGCGGAGCAGAGTATCGCTTTGTGCAGCGAGGAGCGAGTGGGGAGGCAAAACAAACAATGTGGAGGGCCTGTGCAATTTGTGCAGTGGGTGGAAGATGGGGGGGTTCTCGAGAAAACGAACGCCAGCAATCCACCGTTCGATAACCGATCTCATCCAACGGTGTTACGAAGCGTCCGGGACAGGCCTAAGATGTAATCTGTTATGAGTTGTCAAACAGAGTTGAGCGGAAAACGAATAACGAAGCTTTTGACTAAATGAACTGACGATACAATGAAAGGCACACGATTATATAGCGGGACACCCTAGCTAGGCGGGAACCTCGGGAACACGAGGTTGGGCGCAGGTTGGGCAAAGGAAAGCCGAAGGTGACGCGAGGTTGCTTCGGCAGCAAGCAAACCGGCCGAACATGCACTTCCGAAAGTTGGGGTTGTACGCGGTTGAGTAAACCTCAGTAAGGAAAAGGGGTTTTCTTTACACTACCCCCCCCCCCCCCCCCTTTAAGAAAGGTGGTCGACATCCGCGACACGCTTCCGGGCGAGGTAATCTCGCAGTAGCGAAGATGCGTCAAGCGAGGTGGATGGCACCCAAGTGTCGTCTTCACTGGTGCGGTCAGTCCAACGGATCAGAAAATCCACGTGGCGCCCTGAGGCGTCGAGACGAACGCGATGCCACAAAATTTTCGACGGGTCAAGAGTCGGTTCAGGTAAAGGTCGTGCCGTTGGGGCGGCGTTTTGCCGGGCGATATCCGGCGTGGCTGGAAAAAAAGGCCGAAGGAGGCTCACGTGGAACGCATCGTGCACACGCCACTCGTCGGGCAGCAGAAGTTTCGCCGTGATCGGGGTAATCATCTGGATGATGCAGAAAGGTCCACAATATCGCGGACATAGTTTCGGCGAGATGGGCAGTCGAAGGTTCTTCGTGTCGAGTAGGACTAGTTGCCCTGCAACCACGTTGACTTCCCGTCGTAGGAGATCAAAATAATTGCGGGCGGGCCGCATTTGCTTTGTGAATTGCCTCGACAGCTTTCTCGCGGGTGGCTTGGAGTTCCGTCACAAAATGTTGCGAGCGTGGTACCGGGTTCTCAAGTGTAGTTGCTGTGGGTACCACTGGATCCATCCCGTAATTGAGGAAGAACGGGGAATGGTTGGTCGTGCTGAACGGGGCGTTGTTGTACGCAAATTCCAGCATCGGGAGTAAAATTTCCCAGCGAGCGGGGTTGGGGCAGTTCATGCGAATAAGCTGCTCCATCGTCTGATTGGTCCGCCTGGTCTGTCCGTCGGTTTGCGGGTGGTAGGCCAACGAGAACTGTAGTCTTGTGCCGTACTGGGCCCAGGTTTCCTTCCAAAACTTCGACGTGAATTTCGGGTCGCGGTCGCTGACGATCCCCGACGGGATTCCGTGAAGTCGAACAACGGTTGAGATTGTTAGAATAGTATCTATAGTGAGGGTAGGAACCATGCTAGGGTTCAATGTCGAGAGAGTTTGAGAAGAAGGAAAATGTCAAGAAAGAATTGTTAGAATACGTAGCTTAGCAGGGAGTGAGCAAGCTTAGGAGCCATGGCTAGGGTGTGAAGCTAGGCATGACTGTCGAGAGAAAAGTCGAGAAGGATGAGTGCACTATAGGAACAACAGTACATATAGGCAAGAGCTAGGGGTGCACCACCAACAAAGTATGAGCCTACACTACAGTTAATGCAAAGGACAGTTTATATAAAATATGTTTTCAACACACCGCCTAAACTGTTCATAGCAATAACCAGTGCAGTCAACACCCCCTGAAGGGGTACACCCAAGGAAGAGCGCAGCAGAAGTGGGAGAGGGCATGTGAGGAGGAGGAGAGAGAGAGAGAGAGAGAGATGAGGAGAGGAGGTGGGGGGAGCCAAGCGCGGCGAGCCCCTCTTACGAACCCCCTCATTACAAAGGGGGAGGTGAGTGAGAGAGAGAGATGAGGAGAGGAGGTGGGGGGGAGCCAAGCGCGGCGAGCCCCTCTTAAGAACCTCCAAGTCCACACCCTCTTTCAGCCACCCCCCTAAACCTCACCCCCCCCCCCCCCCCCTGTTCAACCACCCCCCAAAACCGCACCCCTCTTTCAGCCGCCACTCCAAACTACACCCCTTCCACCACCCCCTCACCCCCCCCCCTTACCCCACTGCAGTAGGAGCAGCAGGGGGGGAAGAAAGAAGAGGTGGAGGGACGGCTGCTGGCTGGTCACACCCGCCACCCTCACACCCTCCCCCCATCTGGTGCTGCAGATCCCCTCCCCCCCCATTGCTGCACCCGCAGCAGGGGGATGGAGGAGAAGGGGGGGGGGGTGAGGGGACTGGTGCTGCAGTTCCCCTCCCCCCCCCCCTGCTGCACTCGCAGCAGAGGGATGGAGGAGAAGGGGGGGGGGGGGGGGGGGTGTGCTGCAGATCCCCTCCCCCCACTGCTCTACCCGCAGCAGGGGGATGGAGGAGAAGGGGGAGGGGGGGGGGTGAGGGGGCTGGTGCTGCAGTTCCCCTCCCCCCCCCTTGCTGCACCCACAGCAGAGGGATGGAGGAGAAGGGGGGGGGCGGAGGGGGCTGGTGCTGCAGATCCATTTCTGCCACCCCCCCTTACCCTCCAAGAGGCCGCCACCCCCATACCCCCCCCCCCCCACTGCTGCACCCACAGCAGGGGGATGGAGGAGAACGGGGGGGGGGGGCGGAGGGGGTTGGTGGGAGGGGGGGGGGGAATGAGTTCGCCACCCCCATACCCCACTGCACCCTCCCCCCCCCCCCCCCCCGTCTCCTCTCCCCCCCTCCCCATGGGGGAGGGGGGGGGAGGGGGGCGGGGGGGGGGGGGATGAGCTGCGCGTGCGACTGCAGGGCGCGCGGGCAGGAAGAACCCCCTCTTGCCACCCCCTTACCCTCCATGATGCGACAGGGCACCGGGGCCGCGGCTAGGGGCGACAGGTCGCGAGGGGCCGAGGCTAGAGGCGACGGGGCCGCGGTTAGGGGCAGCAGGTCGCGAGGGGCCATAGCAAGGGGCGACGGGGCCAGGCGCGGGCTAGGGACGGGGCTGGGCGCGGGGCTAGGGGCCGACGGGGCCGGGCGCGGGCTAGGGATGGGGCCGGGCGCTGGGCAGGTACGGGGCCGGGCGCTGGGCAGGTACGGGGCCGGGCGCTGGGCGCGGAACGGGGCCGGGCGCGGGGCTAGGTACGGGGCCGGGCGCGGGCTAGGTACTGGGCCGAGCACGGGATAGGTACGGGGCCGGGCGCCGGGCTAGGGACGAGGCCGGGCGCTGGGCAGGTACGGGGCCGGGCGCTGGGCGCGAAACGGGGCCGGGCGCGGGGCTAGGTACGGGGCCGGGCGCGGGCTAGGGACGGGGCCGGGCGCGGGCTAGGTACGGGGCCGGGCGCGGGCTAGGTACGGGGCCGGGCGCTGGGCTAGGTACGGGGCCGGGCGCTGGGCGCGGAACGGGGCCGGGCGCGGGGCTAGGTACGGGGCCGGGCGCGGGCTAGGTACTGGGCCGGGCACGGGCTAGGTACGGGGCCGGGCGCTGGGCTAGGGACGAGGCCGGGCGCGGGCTAGGGACGGGGCCGGGCGCTGGGCTAGGGGCCGACGGGGCCGGGCGCTGGCTAGAAACGGGGCCGGGCGCGGGGCGAGGGGCCGATGGGGCCGGGCGCGGGCTAGGAATGGGGCCGGGCGCTGGGCTAGGGGTCGACGGGCCGCGGGCTAGAGATCGACGGGCTGCGTAGGCTAGGGGCGACGGGCCGGGCGCGTAGACTAGGGGCGACGGGCCCGGCGCGCGTAGGCTAGGGGCGACGGGCCGGGGCCTAGGCTAGCAGGGCAGTAGGTGGTGGGCCCCTGAACTGTCAGAATATTACCTATGTTTCTCTAGTCTGCAGTGGGGTACTCTGTAGTGAGTACAACCCTGTTAGGGTTTTCTATATGTATCCCAATGCTTTCTAGTGCAATCCATCCCTTCTCACTTCAATTTCTCTCGTCAATATTCTCACATGAACATTAGGTCCTAGAAAGTATTGCTCTGATACCATGTTAGAATATGTAGCTTAGTAGGGAGTGAGCAAGCTTAGGAGCCATGGCTAGGGTGTGAAGCTAGGCATGACTGTCGAGAGAAAAGTCGAGAAGGATGAGTGCACTATAGGAACAACAGTACATATAGGCAAGAGCTAGGGGTGCACCACCAACAAAGTATGAGCCTACACTACAGTTAATGCAAAGGACAGTTGATATAAAATATGTTTTCAACAAGAATGTTTCACTAAAGGGCCAAAGGCCCAAGTTATACAAGTGACAAGTAAGGAGGGGGTGCACCACAAGCAGGACAGTGACATAACTACACTAGAGCTAGAACTACATGCAGTTATACATAAATATATTCGGACACACCCCCTAACTGCATGCAGGAATAGCCATGTGCATAACACCCCCTGAAGGGGTACACCAGGCGCAGTGGAGGAAGGAGAGGGCAAGCGAAGAGGAGGAGGGACCATGAGAGGAGAGGAGGTGGTGGGTGGCGGCTAAAGCTGCTGGCACACGGGCAACTGGAGCAACTGGCACACTGGCAAATGGAGCAACTGGCACACGTGCAACTGGAGTAACTGGCTCCACGGCTAAGCGAGCGGCAGGAGCAACTGACTCACGGGCTACAGGAGCAACGGGCTCACGGGCAACTGGCGCAACGGTCTCACGGGCGACTGGAGCTGCTGGCTTCACTGCGCCCACCCCCCTACAACTTCCCCCATTCCCCAAATCCTCCCTGTCACACCCCTCCGCATCCCTACTGCCACTCCCTCAACTCCCCCACACCCTCCCCCCCCCCCCCCCCCCCCCCACAGCGGCATGTGCAGCAGTGGGAGAGAGAGGAGGAGAGGCGGCAGTAGTTCACTCACACCCGCCACACCCATACCCTCCCCCCCATTGCTACACCCGCAGCAGAGGGATGGAGGAGAAGGGGTGGGGGGGGGGGCGGGGGGGGGGGCTGGTGTTGCAGATCCCTTCCTGCCACCCCTTTAACCTCCAAGATCCCGCCACCCCCGTACCCCCCCCCCCCCCCCCCCCCCACTGCTGCACCCGCAGCAGGGGGATGGAGGAGAAAGGGGGGGCGGAGGGGGCTGGTGCTGCAGATCCCCTCCCCCCCACTGCTGCACCCGCAGCAGGGGGATTGAG